CCTACATCACCATTTCAACTTATTCATGTTCTGCAGGAAAAAAAAAATGCCAACAAATGCAGAAGAGGGGGGGTGGTGATGAGACGACTATAAACAAGGAGAAGGGCGCCCAGGCGGAGCTGGGAGACAGTACAGCCTGGGGTGGGGGGAGAGAAGACCACATCAGGCTGTGAGCTGAGGGGTCGCTGCAGGGTTAAGAGCAGACTGCACCAGCTAAAACTCCAGAGCCCACTGAGTGGAGATACTGAGTGAAGTGAGCCACGCCCCTAACCAGCTCAAGGTTTAGAGAAGGTGCCTGGGAACTCAACTAGTAACTTGCTGTTCAAGGGGCTGAGATGCGCTGAGATAGGTGGGAAACAGGAGCGGCCAGAAGGCCACCGGGCCTTCAGAGAGCCGCGTGTCCTGAGAAGGGCTGTCGCTGGGCCTCAGGTAAGACCTGGGCCTTTCGAACTCGCCTCTGACAAGCAGTTTTCTCTGGTTGGATGTCTCACAGGCGGTCTGAGCAGTAAATGAATTCATGGCTGAAAACTCGCTGGGTGAGCTGAACACCACATGTCAGGATCCATGGCTGTTCTGTTCATGGGGGGAAGCCTGCTAGAGCACTGGGTAGTCACCCTGTGGGTGGAGCAGCACCCCCGGGGGGGGGGGGCTGGTCTCGTTCCTCCACCAGGCAAGCTTTAGCACACCGGGCCTTCACAAACACAGCCCATCCAAACACCCAGCACCCTGCGGGAAGGAAACACTCACCACTTGAGGCGGCCTCAGTCCTTGGGTCCTTGTCCTTGTTCAGAGAGGGCAGCAGGGAGGGGTTGGCCCCCCAGGCGGCACTCAGGCACTCCCGGATTAGGGGTCCCCCGGGGCTCTCCTCAGCCCTCTCCGCTGGTCCGCTGCCTTCTTGCCTCTCCTCCACTCCATCCTTCTCCCTGTCCCTGCCCCCATCTCTCTGCCTATTACAGCTTTTCCCTTTCTGTTTTCCTCTCCTCCCCATTTGGATATTAGCTTTCTCCAGTTTGAGAGCAAAATAGCTCACATGTCCTGAAAGATGTGAGAACAGTGGGGAGGGGAGGTTCCTCCACAGAGGTCAGTGGGTTGGGGCGCAGAAGCTCCCCCAGCTGGTCTCTGACCCCTCCCCCAACCCCTCCTTCTTAGTCCCCTCCCCCTCTCCGGCTTCCTTCTCTTCTTCTGGGAGAGATTAAGCAGTTCTTTCACAGCCCTGTCCCCTTTCTTCTTCAAGGACCCCAAACCCACCTCCCACTGCTCTGTCTAGTCCCCCTCAGCATCCCTTAACCTCCCTCTCAGCCCCAGGCCCAGCTGTCACCCTCCCTGGCGCCAGGGGCAAGCTCTGGTGTACCCCACCCTTGAGCCCCCTTGCTCCCCTGAGCCAGACAAGTTTCTGGGTCCCCGGAAGCTCAGACTCTGCCCAGGCCAGCCCGCTGGCGGGAGCTCACTGGACTTTGCGCACGTGATTGGCCGCCTCGGGGCAGAGGCGGGAGACCCTGAAGAGAATCTCGCTCAGCCCTGCCCAGTTCTTTGTCCCTCCGCCCTCTCCAAGCTGAGCACCACAGACCCATACTCCTCACGTCCACACAGCCTGGGGGCTGAGGAGGCACGGGGGGGGGGGGGGGCGGAGACTGGGCGGAGGGGTAGGGTAGCCACAGAGTAGGTGAGTACGGGGTCAGGGGGCTGGGGCGCAGGGTGGGCAGGAAACGTGTGAATTTGAGTGTCCACCCACTGGTGCAGTCTGGGAAAGCTGGGGTCACTGCTCGACCCTAATTGGTCTGCCTTCAATGGCATGGCTCTTACTTGAATCAAAGAAAGCTTTGGAAGCAGGCATTTAATTCCCAGTCTTTATTCTCCTACTTGTGTGACCTCAGGCAAGTCCCTTCATTCAGTCTCCACTGTGCAGTAGAAATGATAACACCTGAGTGCTTACTTTACAGGTTTATTAGAAGAATTCAAGGGGAACATATTTTCTAATCACCTGTTATTCTAGTAGACAATACGGTGCAGCTTCATTCCAGGAGAAGGCATGAAAAAAATCTTCGGTTCTCTTTTATTTTTCTGTAGTAACCTCCAGTGAAGTCACTTTGAACCTTTATGGGCTTCACTGCCATCCTCTGTGAGGGGGGAGACTTGGAGGAGATGACCTCCAAGATCTCCTTGGCTCTAGGTTATGTGACTGCCAAAATCTGGCATCCTCCTTCAGGTCACCCCTGGAGAGGAGGGGGAGCTCAAGTCCTTTTCAGAACTCCAGTAATCACCCCGCTTGGCGAGAAGCCCCACTCTGGGGCATGTGGCGGGCGAGCCTGCCCCCAGCCCACAGTGCAGCACAGCCTCACACTGTAGCAGGGCACACGCAGGGCTCTTCCTTGATGGAGACTCTCTCCCCAGGCTACTGGCAGGAGCAGGATTTGGAGCTGGGGACTCTGGCTCCGGTGCACGAGGCCATCAGCTCCACAGTCTGGAGCAGCCCCGACATGCTGGCCAGTCAAGGTGAGAAACCAGGCCTTATCTCAACGGCCCCCCGGACCCTCCACATCCTCACACCATCCCCCACTCATGTCCCTCCACCCGTGTTCTCACCACTCATCACCACACGGCTCCTCTCTTCTTTCCATTTGATTTTAGTTCTTAGTTTGACACCACCGACTTCTGCACCTACTCCTTCTTCCCTTATGACAGCACGCGGCAGCTGCGTCCCTACACAAAATGATTCCAGAAGGCGTGTACTCCGCAGAGGGGGGGAAGAGGTTCTCGAAAGACAGTCCAGGTAGACTGCACCCAAAGGAGCTGGGGACAAGGGTTTACCAGTCAAAAAGGTGGCTTGCGGGCACCCCAGCTCTGTGAAAGTTCAAGTTCTACCACTCCAGTTTTATGGTAGAGTCCCACTAGGTTCTGTTTTCGGTAACCAAGAGAAAGTGGAGGGGAAATTCGCTTCTATGGCAAATGGCAAAAAATGAAAGCAGCGTTCGGTGGGGGGGTTTGCAGCAGCCCCAGAGGGAGCAGCCAGCCGAGCGCCCTCCTGTGATAAGGCTCTGCGCTTATCACAGCCTGCCGCCACTCAGGTTAGCGCAGCCTTAGGGTTCCTGTGTGACCTGTTATGATCTGGCAGGTTACTTGGGGTGGGGGGACTGGGAATGCTCCAAAAATTTCCATATAAAAGAATTGCTTCTTTTTTTTTTTTTTTAAAGATTTATTTATTCATACAGAACTGGGGTACAGGCCAGAGATGCGGAGGGTGAGAGGATTCACCAGAGACAGAGTGGGGTGCAGAACAGGCAGATCGACGAAGTACACTGCTGAGGGGAGCAGCGGGCGGGTCAGGAGAGGTCTGCCACGCCATGTGGTCTCCTCCAGGGGCAGGCGGGAATCGAACTCATGCGGAAGTGGCTTAAGCTTCTTTGTGCTGTGCTTTAACCCGCTGCGCCACCAGGGAGGGCCAAGAATTGCTTCTTTTTAACTTGCTTCTTGTAAGCCACCATTTTGGCTTATGAAAGATTTCATAGGAAGATCCGCTCTTGAAGAGGAGGAGGAGACCCGTTGGCTAACAGTAAATAAAAGGTTTCCCAGACCTTTGAGACACTTAAGAAATCTATCACGTCCAGATTTACTCCGTCAGCTTGCTACTCCAAACCATCATTTTAATTCTCAAGTAGATGAGTGACGTGGGAAGGAAAGAGCAGTTGTGAGCAGAACCGGCTGGGCCTCCCCGGGTCACTGGCTGTGGAGGCTGGTCCTGGACAAACATTTCACCTCCATTGCCTCCTTGCCTGCACCAGTAAGTGAGACAGTTGGACTCCATGACTCTCAGGATCCCCTCGGAGCTAATCTTTATGGTTCCAAAAAGGAGCAGGTTTGTGCTGCAGGGTGGAGACCACACCGAGGCCCATGCTGGTCACCCTGCGCCCCTTCGCTCCGCAGGGTCCTTCCACAGAGGAGCGCCTAGAAAGAGAGGCCACAGAGGCAGGGCAGGGCAGGGCTGGAGTCACAGGGAGCATGGGGATTAGAGAGCGTAGACATACATCTCCAGTTTCCTATCCGGGGATGAGCAATGCTGGTTCCATACATGGCTGGAGGAGGCCTCTCACCTCAGATTCAGAATCAGGGCTGGACAGTGTTGCTTATTGAGGGTCAGCTCTGTTAAGGTCAGTGCTGTTCAGGCCACAGAAAATCAGTCCTGAAGAAGAGGGAATAACCCTGGGAGTGGGGGGTCCATGCTGCCAGGAGCATGGGGTGCCCCTGGGTGTTGGTCCAGGGTCCCACTGCCAGGCCAGAGGAGGACGGAGGCACATTTGGGGGTGCAAAGAGTTCATCCACATGGTATCTTATTAGTCCCTGCCTTTCGTTGACCTGACTAAGGAAAGAAGGACTAGAGAACATACTTCCATCACATCGGACGGAAACCGCTATCTCTTTACTCTTTAAAATAACATCAGGCTGGTGATCTGGGCTCTTGTATCAGGAGGCTGGCAGCTCTAACGCAGGAGTAAGTTCAGGGAAATGATGCTTGATGGGAAGCAATTGCAGGAGAAAGTGAAAAATCTGTGTGAAATGTTTCAGCTTTTAATTTGTATCCTCCTTGTTTGTCTGCACTTTTCCCAGCTGCTTTCTGTGTCAATGAATGTCCATCCTGGGGGCGGGGGTCCCCTCCGTTAGCTTCAGGCAGGCTCAGCAGCCCCTGTTCTCCGCTTCCTTGTCAGGGGTGCGGAAGCAGAGGTCGAGGACGGTGTGTGTGTGTGTGTGTGTGTGTGTGTGTGTGTGCGTGTGTTCAAGGCAGGGCAATGAGAGGCATGTGGAGGCCCACGGCCTGGCGCTGAGGCCCTGAACTTTCACTCAGCTAACCCGCCACAGGGGAGCTTTCTCTGTGTATTCAAAGCTGGGGGAAATGCGGCCTGTCTCTCTCCACACCTCGGTTGTTCTGGGTGAATCCGTCAGAGCACAGAGACCAGCCGTGGCTGAGGCCCAGCTACAGGTGGACTCACTCTGTTCTCCTCCTGCAGACAGCCAGCCCTGGACCTCTGACGAGACAGTGGTGGCCGGCGGTACGGTGGTGCTCAAGTGCCAAGTGAGAGAACACGACGACTCGTCCCTGCAGTGGTCCAACCCCGCCCAGCAGACGCTCTACTTTGGAGAGAAGAGAGGTAGTGCCTCCTCAGTGATCCCCAGGGGGCCCGGGCTGGTCAGAGCCGATGGGCCAGATGGGTCCAGGAGTCCAGAGGCCAAGGGCAGAGATGGGAAGTAGCCTCGAGAAGCTCCTGAGGCTGCACCACCAGGACTCCTCCTGCGTCCTGGGGACGTCAGTGTGACTGAAGCACATGCGTCCCACAGGCTACTGGGATGGCTGTCCCCCAACACGTGACTGCTGATGTCAGTGTGCCCCCATATTTCTCAAGGAAGCCTCCAGGCCCAGTTCCCCTTTCACAGTAGATCTGAGGCCCCTGTACCCACTGCTATAGAAAAGTGATCAAATGGCCCTCCCTGGTGGCGCAGCGGGCTAAAGCACAGCACTGCAAGCAAGCTGCAGCCGCCTCAGTGTGTGTTCCACCCCCGCCCTGGAGCTGGCCCATGCGGCGCGGCAGACCTCTCCTGACCCGCCCGCTGCTCCCCTCAGCAGCGTACTTCATCAGTCGGCCTGTCCTGCTCCCCACTCTGTCTCTGGTGAAGCCTCTCACTGCACCTGCACCTCTCTGGCCTGTACCCCAGTTCTGTATGCATAAATAAACAAATCTTTAAAAAAAAGAAAAAAAGGAAAAGTGACCAAATGGTGCCAAGACTAATCAAACTCAGTAGTTTTCTGCTCCCACCGAACTACCCCAAATCAGAAATGCAGATGAGGCCTGGAGGGTAAGTGACAGGTGCCATACACTTTGCTCCCACTCCAGCCCTTCGAGACAACCGGATCCAGCTGGTCAGGTCCACGCACCACGAGCTCAGCATCAGCATCAGCAACGTGGCCCTGGCGGATGAGGGCGAGTACACATGCTCCATCTTCACCATGCCTGTCAGGACCGCCAAGTCCCTGGTCACCGTGCTGGGTGAGCTCCCGTCCTGCGCATTTTGCCTAAGGCAGGGCTCCCACACCCCAAAGCAGAGCCAGGGGAGTCTCCAGCCCCGGGGAAAGGGTGTCCTGTGTGTTCTCAGAGAGGACCTTGGGGCTCTCCTCTCTGCTTGCTCTTTGCCCTTGGACACGTCTCTTGCTCTCTTGAGCTAGTTTCCTCCCCAGTAACAGAGGCAAGGTGCTAACTGACCCACCTCCCTCTTCGGACCGCGTGAGGGAAGCCTGAGGAGTACAGGCAGCTCTGCTGGTAACCCCAAGACGAGCCCCCAGCTGCTCTCCTGCGCTCATCCCGACCCTACAGCGTGCTTTCCTTCTCTGCCCCCCTGAGCTGCACCCTGGCTGTGGCCACCCAGCTGCTCCGTGAATGCATTCTTCATCAGGTCTCAGAAGTGGGGTGTCTCCCCGCCTGGGGCTCCCCTCCTGTCCTATGGATGAGATCACAGGAAAATCTGACACCGTAGTCACCCCCCTTCCGTAAACCAAAAGAGAGCCCATGTAGCCCAAGCGTCCCGGTAGGCCGCCTGGGAGGGAGACCTGAGAGTAACTTCACGCTGCTTCTCCTCTCTCTCCTGACCACCCTGTCCACGGCAGGAATCCCACAGAAGCCCATAATCACAGGCTACAAGTCATCGTTGAGAGAACAGGAGACAGTCACTTTAAACTGTCAGTCTTCCGGGAGCAAACCTGCAGCCAAGCTCACTTGGAAGAAGGGCGACCAAGTACTGCAGGGTGAGTGCCGCCAGCTTGGGGCCCCGGGGGGCCATGGGAAGACGGAGTGGGGAGCGGAGGGGCAGAGGGCGCCCGTGCACCAGTGTGTATCGGTGCGCACCAGCTGTGGTTCAGAGAATGGCCTAGAACCGTGTGGACACAGGCGTTGCATGCGTGTGCTCACCTGTGGCCACGCCTCTGTGTGCATGTGTGCACTGGGACACATGTGTCTGTGTGGGCCATGGGGCCCACATGCTCCCTGTGTCCACTCCCAACTCTCTGAACTGGTCTGAGTTGAGACTTGCTGCTGACGGATGCAGGGAGCACTGCCTGTGTGAGGGGCTCACCTGTCTGTGTGTGCTGGTCTCTCTCTAGGAGAACCAACCCGAATACAGGAAGACCCCAATGGTAAGACCTTCACCGTGAGCAGCTCCGTGACATTCCAGGTTTCCCGGGAAGATGACGGAGTGGACATCGTGTGCGCTGTGAACCACGAGTCTCTAAAGGGAGCCGACAGATCCACCTCTCAGCGCATCGAAGTGTTGTGTATGTCCTGGGACGAGGAGGAGGGCGGGTGTGAGGTGGGGCGGGGGGAGGCGGGTGTGAAGGGGCCACACAAAGCCAAGCACGCAGCGAGGACGTGACTCGGATGAGACTAGGCCGAGGGTCAGCAGACTTCCCTGTGAAGGGCCCACAGCCAGCCTCTTAGGCTCAGGGCCACCTGGTCTGTGTCTCAACTGCTTTGCTGCTGTTGCTGCCATGCGTGAACGCATGAGCTGGCTGTGTGCCAATAAAGCTTTATTGACAAAGTGGGTGCGCTTACCGGCCCCCGGCGAGGCCTGTGTGTGCAGCCAAGTGTGCACTGTGCCGACAAGCAGAGCAGGGGTACGGGGGCCAGGTTCTCATCAGCTCGCCTCCTCCGCAGGCTGTGCGATGGTCAGAAAATCACTCTGCCACTGAGCTTGATTCTCTTCTCACTACATGAGAAGATGAATGTGGGGTCAGCGAGGCCCCTGGTGGAACATACTGTGATTTCAGGAGAATGTGGGGGCAGGAAGACATCTCTTGCCACAACTTGGGGCTTTGCCCTCTGCATGTTGTCCTCTCTGCCCCAGCTCTGCCCCCAACCTCCCCAGGGGTCCTTGTCCTCTATGGAATCTGCCTTGAATATCAATAGGACCCTCCTCTGGGAAAGTTTAGAGATTTAAAAAAAAAAAAAAAACCTATCTGGGTGGAGAAACCAACTGGAAAGGAAAATAAAGTACAAAGACAGAATACAGTGAGTTATAAAGTAATGCATCTTACCTGAAGGCTGGGTGGTTTTCTAAAATAACCAGAACCCTGCATCTCTTTGCTAGGGAAGAGCTAGTCCTGGCTTCAGGGCTGTTTAAGTCAACCTTGAACTTGCAGCAGTAGACTGGCAGAGCCTCCGCCTGGAAGTTGGAAGCCTGGGGGTTCACCCGGTCCCCCTGCTTGGGGGCTGTGCCCTTTTTCCACCACAGCATTTATTCTCAGTGGTTCTTGCTCCCTTTGCAGAACTGTCATGAGTATGAAAGAAATAGTCTGGCAGGACTCGGTAAACTCCAGTGTTCTCTTTGCTGTCTGAGTCCCAAGCTCTCTCAGGGAGGTTCCAGACCATCTGGCCTTCCTCTCCAGGGACCTCCGGGCCCACCTGTGACCAACAGCCAGCCGACAAGGCCATGCCTCAGGCCCCGTGCTGAGCTTCCTGTGGTTGTGGGCCCTGCACACCTATGCCCTCACCTGACCTGTTCTCTTTGTCTTGTTTGGTGTAAAGGAAACAACGTCAACCCCGGTGAAGGTCGACTCTGTCCTCGGGGGAGGTGCTGCTCTTTGTTGCTCCAAACCAGCATCTGACTGTGTTGTTCTAAGCTACCACCTGGAGCTGGCCTCCCTGAAGCCCTGCGGCATCAGCAGGGGAGGGAGCTGGCACCCCTATGCAGGGCCATCCTCGGGTGTCTGTGCCTCTTTGCAGTCAGAGGACCACCTTGCCCCTCCTGTGGCAAGGCCTGCATTTCATCTCCCCCACTAAAATCGACCACTCGTATTTGGGCGTCACTGCCTGTGGGAGTTTCTTGCAGAGCAGAGAGGATTGAGAGGCTGTGAGCCCATGAGCAAGCTCAAGGTTATTTCTTCTGTCGAAATTATATATTCGATCCATCTGCATGCTGGGCAGAGTCCTGGGCTCAGAGGAGCCTCGTGCCCGCTGGTTGGCTCCCTGGTCAGACAGCCCCTGGCTCCCACACAGTCCCAGAGTTTTACCTCTGCAAGGTTTCGCTGCAAGCGCCTGGCACATTCAGGGCTCACGCAAGCTGGAGGAAAGTCTTGTTCACAGCTGCTGGGCTCTGGAGGCTTTTGACAAGAAGCTGCAATGCTCAGCTGAGTGGTTTGAGACACGGTGACTCCTTCTCAGCGTGGGGATTTTGCACTGATACCATCTTTTCCACAGACACACCGACAGCAGTGATTAGACCAGAGCCACTACACCCCCGAGAGGGCCAGAGGCTGTTGCTGCACTGTGAAAGCCGTGGCAACCCTACGTAAGAAGCTCCGTGCTCTCCCATCTCCCTTTCCTGTTGTCTGCAGAGCCCCTGTTTCCCTGAGTCTGTCTAACCACCTCCATCCCCTGAGGGAGCCCAGCTGAGTAAGATGCAAACTAAGAGATCTCCCTCCTCCCCAAAATGAAGCCCCAGGAGCAGCCAGCACCAGAGTCCTTCCCGGAGCAGCTCTGGGCTCCTTGCACCTGGTGACTTCCGTTCCCTCAGCTCCGGCCCACTGCCTCTCCCCACTGCCTCCGGATCAACTCTGCTCTTGCTGTCTCCACAGCCCCCAGCAGTTTCTGTGGGAAAAGGAGGGCAGCGTGCCGCCCCTGAAGATGACCCAGGACAGGGCCCTGATCTTCCCCTTCCTCAACAAGAGCGACAGCGGCGTCTATGGCTGCACGGCCACCAGCAACATGGGCAGCTACAAGGCCTACTACAACCTCAACGTGAACGGTGAGCCCCGTCCCACCAGCACCTGCCCTTCTGTGTCCATCTTGGCCCACGCTTTCCCCCGCCTGGAGAAGATGGGGGGGGGCTAGAACCTCGGGCCACTCGCCCCAGTGCACTCTGGCGGTGTGGGCAGGAAGCCCGCAGAGCGTGGGATCTTGCTGCCTGTGTGGCGATGCTGAGATGCTGACTCAGATGGCGCCACCTCCAGGCCCTGCACCCACCCTGCGCCAAGAGTCATACTGTGTGCGCAGAGGCCCCGCCTCCCCGCGGGTGTAACTGCCTCTCCCTCTGCTGCAGTGGGCTGTTCTCCACCACTGCCCCCCTCCACCCCCACGCCGGGGCGAGTTTGGGTGCAGACCGTGGACGCACTGTGCCTGCCTTCTGCTGAGGGTCTTCTCAGAGGCCGCATCTGCTGAGGGGCTGGGCGCTGCTGTTCCCCAAAGCACCTCCCAGGATGTGACCCGACCCCGGCCCAGCTGCAGCAGTGACAGCGAGCACAGAGGGCTGCCTCTGGAGAACTGTAGGAGGCCTGAATTTTAGACCTTTCCTAGGATAAGGGGTGGAGGGGAACTTAAACCCCTCCCCCGCCCCATGAAATGCTTGCTGACGCAGTGGGGAGCCTAGCGGGGTTAGCCCTGAAGTCTTGGGACCAGTGTGCGGCTGGGGTGATCTGACTCCGGCCTCGCACAGCTCACCCAGCTGCTGCAGGTGCCAGGAGCAAGGAAGGACAGCGTCTGAGTGGTTCCCAGAGCTCTCCAGACAGGAGAAGGATTGCTGGCAAAAGGAAGTTCCTGTGCCCAGGATCTGACCCCGCCACCCCCACCCCCAAAGAGCTGGTTCTGGATCTTACTGACCCTCACCCCAGGGGCGGTCCTGGACCTTGCTGACCCACCCAATGCTGAAAGTATCAGTTCTGGATCTTGATGACCTTCCCATGAGGCCTGGTTGCCCCCGGAGGTCCTAAGCCTTGCTGACCTCCTCCTCTGTTCTGAGAGCCAGAGAGCCAGACCTGGGTCTTGTTGACCCTTGTCTGGTCCTGGACCTTGCAGAATCCTCTCCCTGGGCCAATAGCAGGTTCTGTGGCGCCTCTGTTCCCAGTGCTGACACCTAGTGGTCGAGACAGTTACTGCATCGGCCAGGCTGGCAGGAGCATCTAGTGATAGACTCCAACTCTCCAGAATGAGTTCTGTCTACTTGGTGGTAGCGCCTGGCAGTTGATGTCCCCAAGGGTTATTGGCAATGGAAGCCTATGATTTTCAAAGGACTCACCATTGCCATAGCTCCCGGAGTGACTTCCCGGGATTGATTTAGTGGGGACTGTGTCTAAGATGCCCCCGGAAAAAACTAGTGGATGAGTTGCCTTGATCCTGCTGAGGACACCACTGCACCACCTTTCATGCAAGGTCTGCGCCCATCTCCTCCCTCCCAAGCAGAGCACAAAAAACCAGAACATAAATGTTTTCTTTTCAAATAAGGCGGAGAAGGGCAAAGGAACTAAAAAGCTGGCCCCGTCAAGCCTGGAGACATAAGGTAGGAAAGACGGATGTGTAAGAGTCAATGAGGCGTCAAAACTCCAGCTGAGTCAGTGCAGGAGCAGCAGGTCTCCCGCCGCTGTTCCTGGGGAGGCCACACCTGCGGCCCATGTGATGTTGGGCACGTGAGGGCTGCGCCCTCCCTCTGCAGATGGCAGCGGGCATTGCTGGACACTGTCCCTGCCAGTGCTGCACACTGGAGAGAAGATAGGGGTGTAGGCCAGGCAGGCAGGGCCTGGGGCTTTGCTGCGACCCAGAACCCTCCTGCCAAGAAGGAACGCTGTTCCTTCCATGGGACTCTCAGTCCCTCACGTCTTATGTGGTGCTAGAGAGTGCTACTTCCCCGTTTCTTCAGGTCTCGCTGCTCTTTCCCTGGGTGACCTCAGGGCAGAGGATAGACTGAAAAGGATAGAACTGTTCAGGCTATCCAGGAGCAGGAAGAGAAGAGTGGAGAGATAGGGAAGGAATATCCCAGTACCCCAGAAATAGAGAGAGTTGATTGAGACGTCGAAATGATGTTTTGCCAAGGTCAAGCTCCAGTACCATGAATTTTGCTGAAAGGCCTGACCGTGAGCAGATTTATCTGTTTATTCCTGAATACACCGATTCTATTTTAACGATTACTGTGTTCCAGACGGTACCCAAAAAGCTAGGGTACACGTAAGTCATCTCCCTGCTGAACGATGGCCCTCGTCCTCCTGACAAGGTTGGTTCAGATTCCCTGCTGCTGTCCATGACCCCAGGCTGGGACAAAGGTGCTGCCCGGGAAGGGTCTCCCCAGATCTGACCTGTGCACCCCTCTCCGCAGACCCCAGCCCGCTGCCCTCGTCGTCCCCCAGCACCTACCACGCCATCATTGGTGGGATTGTGGCTTTCATCGTCTTCCTGCTGCTCATCCTGCTTATCTTCCTCGGACACTATTTGATTCGGCACAAAGGTCAGCCGCCCGAGGGAGTGCGGGGGAGCCTTGGACTGGCTTGGGGCTTCAGGGAGGGCCCTCAAGGCTCAGTCAGCTCCTTGGAGTGTTTGGGAAAGAAAAATGCAGCCCTGCTGTGGTACTGGGCACCAGCAACCCCGCACGGAGTCCCCTCAGCTGGGCCATTCACATAGAATCGGGCCTTACCATGCGGTCAGCTGCAGCCCTGCCCACCAGCTCTCCTCCTCCACACATCTTTGCTCACACGCCTGCCGTGACTGCTTCTAGGGCACTCCAACCACCCGGGCTGACCAGATGCAAGCCAGAGCATGACTGACCACTCACAGCTGACCGCTTTCCATTCACCCCCTCTCAAGCGTATGCACACGGGCACAGGCCCGCACACAGCAGGTGCCTGTGCATTCTCACACATGTATGTGCAGACACACCACACGTGTGCACAGAGGCAGGCACGCACAACTGTGCCAGCACATCTCGCACGTGTAAAGGCAGGCGTGTGGGTGCGTAATCGCACGCACCGGCATTGCGGGCACATAGCTGGACACACATGTGCTTGCACACAGATACACACGTGCTCAGATGGTTTTTTGACTGTGTGATGAATGAGCTTCTAAATAAAGGCAGGATCTATGAATGCGTGGGGGTGGTCAGAGGCTGCAGATTCGGTCGGAGGGAAAACACCCACAGGAGCAGGTGTGTGTGGGGGGAGGCAGGTGTCCAGCAGGGGACTTGGAAGCTGAAGCGGTAGGCCCTCTCTCCCCAGGAACCTACCTGACCCACGAGGCAAAAGGCTCCGACGACGCCCCAGATGCTGACACGGCCATCATCAACGCCGAGGGCGGGCAGTCGGGTGGTGACGACAAGAAGGAGTATTTCATCTAGGGCGCCCTCACCTTCTGCGCCCCCAGGGCCCCACGGGGACTGCTGGGCACTACCAACCGGACTTGTACAGAGCGACCCCAGGGCCGCCCTCCCGCTTGCTCCCCGGCCCCCACCCCTGTACAGAATGTCTGCTTCGGGTGCGTTTTGTACTCGGTTTGGAATGGGGAGGGAGGAGGGCGGGGGGAGGGTTGCCCTCAGCCCTTTCCATGGCTTCTCTGCGTTTGGGTTATTATTATTTTTGTAACAATCCCAAATCAAATCTGTCTCCAGGCTGGAGGGGCAGGGGCCCTGGGTAAGAAAAGCAGAATCCTGGACTGTGAGGAGAAGAGGTGAGGGTCACGACAGGGCAGGCGCGGGTGGTCTGGCCGGGGTCTCACCAGCGCCCAGTCCTCAACAACGGAGCGCCTTCCCACCCCCCAGGAACAGGACAGTGTGACAGGAGCCAGAGGTGGGACTTCCTCGTAGTCACGCCTCTCTAGCTGTGGATTGTGGACTGGGGTGCCGTCCTCACACCCCTCTCCCTCCCGTCCCTCCCTGCAATGGGCAGGGGGTGGAAGGGGTCCCCAGCATTGACCACAGATGGCACGCAGCCACGCAGGGACCCAGGCTGCAGCACAGGGAGGACCCCGGCCTGCAAGACGGGTGCATTTGGCGAGGAGGATGGCGGAGGGGACCCTGCCCCGCTCCCAATGATCGGAGCCCAGGCGCCTTGCACAGAGCCACCCTTGGAGGGGAGCGGGCGAGGTGCCCTCCTCTCTCCAGCCGTGGTGGGAGAGGCGCTGTTGCTGGGGGTAGGAGAGGCCCTGTTGCTGGGAGTCCCGACTGCGTCCTCTTCCCCCAAGGGCCCCACCCCATCCAGGCCCTGGACTGATGCACCGAGCCCCGCCTGTCACGGCTCCTCTCCCCCACTTTGAGCTGCGCCCTCCTGTGTCCCCCAGGCTCCCAACCCCAGCAGCAGCCAGGCAGATATAACAACAAAAATACTAAAGGCGCTTCACTGCTCTGAGCTGTTTCCTGCCCCAACTAAGGGATAATGTGAATCTGTGGGTGTGTCCGTGAGTGTGCACGTGTGTGTGTCGTGCACATGTGGATGTGTGTGTACGTGTGGATGTGTGTTCCTGTGTGTGAGAGGGAGAGGCAGAGGGTCCTAGGCTGGTGGGCGGGCTGCGGGGCATGAAAAGGAGGCTCGGGGCGCGGAGGGCCTGTCGGCTCTGTGCCCACCTGGGACGTGGCTCCCTGCTGGCGCCGCCCGTGCCAGCCCGGGGGCCCCTCTGTCGTGAGGAGCCGGCCTGGCACGTTTTCGCAGCAGTGTCCATCCCACCTCTCCCGAAACCAGAGCCCTCGGCCCCGCCCCGATTTCCCTTCCCAGAGCGGCGGAGTCAGTGCCGAAGCCCCTGCTCTGCACCCCTCAGGCCTCTCCCTGGCGCTGACTCGGGAACGACGCCCTTTTTTTTCCATAGTCTGAGCCCGGTGTGTCAAGGGCTGGAATGATCTACCACCCGGCACCCCTCCGATCTCCACCCTGCTTTCCATTTTGTCTTCCTTGGCGGGAGCCGGTTGGCCTGGAGATGAGGCAGCCCTCTTCCCCTCCCACACCCCTCTCCCCGCCCCTCCCCCGTCCCCCCCACACCCTCCTGCTCTGACAACTCAGGGGGTGCAGATGGGGGGCTGCCTCCCTCGGCAGCTCTGCTCACCTTCAGTTCAGGTACTGCCCTGTGACTCTTCCAGCCGCTGGTTAGGCCCCAGGCACCCAGGAGCCCCCACCTGAGCCAGGGCCCTCCTCTTACAGCAGCAGGGAACCTCAGGCCCCGGGCCTGTTGGGCTCCCTCTCTCCCAGCACACGCTTTTGGGAAAAGACTTCCTCTTTGAGCTGAACCACTCTGTCCACATTACACAGAAGCCATATTTGTACGGGGGCGGGGGGCGGGCCTGTGCTGTGCGAGTCTGTCTGTGGGGGGGGCGGGAACAGGGAAGGGGTCGTGTATCTTTATAATCTTTCTAACTCCTGTGCTAATCTCCGAGGGGCCACCCTCAATATATCTGATTACCCGTGTTGTTGGGTTGCCTCCTTCTTGCTCCTCTTGTTCCTGTGAGGGTGTGTGTATGTGTGACCCCTCACCTGGCACCTCCCAATGGTGGGGGTGGGGGTTTGTGTCCTGCCAAGCCGCACCCCAGATCATCTCTGCGTGCAAACAATATAACTTTCCAGAGGAAGAACTTCATTCACCTCTTTGGCTGGTCTGGGCCCTTGCTTCTAGAGTGTTTGGGGGTGTCTGACAGTCACCCCCCACTGCCATCTGCCAGGCTGGACTAGGGAAGGTGGAGATAGAGGTGAACATTTCAGTACCACCCGAGACAGCACCAACAGCCCCTCAAACTCACTTTCCAATCTCTGGAGTGGAGCTGGAAGCTGAGCCGGTGTCCCCGGAGGGACCATCTGTCCCGTGTCCCTGCTTCCACCCTGCCCCCCCTCCCTCCACACCCCCTTTGGATGGAGAGAAACTGTTGGACAATTGGAATGAGAACACCCCCTGCTTTCCTGGGCAGATGAAGGCACTGTCTTATCCAGAAACCCTAGTGCTGTGACTCACCCCTTCCAATGACTGGGCTGTTTTCCCAAGCAAGGACATAAGGTGGGAGGTCGAGGGGTTAGGCGAACCAGCAGAGGGCATGGAGAATTAGGGCTGGGGCTGGGGAAGGGTGGAGACTGGCACAGGGAGGACACCCTTAATCTCTGCAACCCCCTCCCCATTAGAAACTTATGTCTTGCTGACACCAGGCCAACTTAGCAGTTTGCCAGAGGCTTGCGTACCCAGCAGAAATATGGCTCACGGATACCCCACAGCCCCACCATCCCCAGAGCCTACAGAAATTTGTCAGATGTCCTTTTGGATGGAAGAGGCATCCACCATGCCCACAGTTGGCTCAGCCAGTGTCCAGCCACCCAGAGCAGCTTTATGTTGCAGGCTGCCCCCACCCCCACCCCCACCCCATGGACAATTAGACCTAATGTGGCATTGCCCACACCCAGACACCCACTCATACCGGCACTCAGAGGTGCTCAAGGGCAGCACATCCATGCACCAGTGCAGACAAGCACCTCCCGCCTGACTCCAGGAGCGCTGCCACAAGACCCCCAGGTGTCAGTAGCCACGTTTCACACTCACAGAAACGCTCAGCCCCTCCCATAGCGCAGTTACCATCAGCACCCTCCCAGCCCACAGACACCACCCCCACTCGCACAGCTCGGCCTTTGCACTCTTCCTGTGGAAGGAGCTCAGGAGACAGGAGGAGGGAGGGTCACCTGCTGCCCCCTGCACTTCCCAGCATGTCTTAATCTGTCTCACTCTTCTCCTGGCCCCTCTTCCTTCCTGTTCCGGAAGGAGCACTTCTTGATGGAAAGCCCCTGGCTTCTTGGTTTCCCTTTCCACCTTCAGGGAAATACCCGCTTTCTGGGCCCACCTATTCCCTTTCCCGGGAAGCTCCCTCAGGTCCACCAGCAGGATCCAACCTCAAAACAGGAAACTGGGCCAGTGCCCCTTTTGGCTGAGGCGTGGGCAGGAGAGGGTGTGGGGTAAAGGTTTCCTGGATGCCCCACCCACCCCAGTCCTCATTAGTGCCCGCACTTATCTCAGAGCCACAGCCAAGGACAGGCGCCCGGTCTTCTCTCCAACCTGCCAGAGCCAGGAGCCATGGGGAACTGTCAGCCCCGGGTGAGTGCAGCCCTCCAAGCCAGCCCTCCCTGCAGGCGGCCGCCTCCTGCCTTCACTCCTCTCTTCTTGCTTTGTCTTAAACATTTAATATTCTTCCTTTCCCCCCCCCTCACCTGGGCCCCCCACTCCTCCCTCTCCATTTGCTCTCAGTCCCTCCCATCCATGCTCTTCCCTCACTCCCAGTCCTGCCCACGCCCCCTCCAGGGCCTCCCATGTCCCGCTCCTGCTCCTCCACTCGCCCTCCTCACACACTGGCTCCTGGGCTCCAACCGCCACCCCTGTGCCCCCAGCCCCCTGGAGGCCTCTGGGTGGCTGTGCCCTGATGGTGCCTCGGCCTGTCCTGCAGGTGGACTCCTCCGTCCTCGTTGACGAGAACTTCAGTAAGTTGGACTTTGGAAACGAGATTTTGGATAACATCTCCTATGACTATAATGATTCTGGGCTGGAGTTATCTGCCCCCTGCCACTCCTGTAACCTGCTGGATGAGTCCTCGCTGCCCTTCTTCCTCCTGGCCAGCATCCTGGGCATCCTGGCTAGCGGGACCGTCCTCTTCGCACTCTTCAGGCCGCTCTTCCATTGGCAGCACTGCGCTGACCGGCCAGTCCTGGCACAGCTGGCTGTGGGCAGCGCCCTCTTCAGCATCGTGCTGCCCATCCTCGCACCAGGGCTGCGTGGTGCTGACAGCGACCCCCTGTGCCACATGGCCCTCCTAATCTGGTATGGTTCTGCCTTTGCCCAGGCTCTGCTGATAGGGTGCAGGGCCTGCCTGGGCCCCAAGCTGGGTGCTGGCCGAGTCCCACGGCTCACTGTGATGCTCACAGTGGGACTTTGGGGGGCAGCTGTACTCTTGGGGCTGCCGATCACCCTGGCCGGTGGTAATTCTGAGGGACTCTGTACCATCAGCAGGGGGTGGGGGCCTTTGCAGGCCGTACACACAGCAGCCTGTTTTGCCATCTTCATTGTGTTGCCACTGGGTTTGTTGGGAGCCAAGGGGCTGAAGAAGGCATTGGACAGGGGGCCGTGTCCCTGGGTTGATGTTCTATGGGCCTGGTTCATTTTCTGGTGGCCTCATGGGGTGCTTCTGGGGTTGGACTCCCTAGTGAGGTCCCGGGTCTTGTTGTTGTCTACATGTACAGCTCAGCAGGCCTTGGACCTGCTGCTGCACCTGGCAGAAGCCCTGGCCATTCTGCACTGTGTGGCCACCCCCCTGCTCCTGGCCCTGTCCTGCCACCAAGCCACTAGCAATGTGCTGCCCTCCCTCCCTGTCCCAGTGGGACAGTCTTCTCATCCCAACACCCTTGGCGGCAAGTCCTAGCCCCCTGCCCACCTGCAAAGCTGTATTAAAGTCTATGCTGCTTTTTTATGAAGTGGGTGGTTTCTTATTTCATCAAAGAACGGAGAGAAGAGGACGGGGAAAGGAGAGGGAGACGTTTCACGCCAGACACTCCTGTCTTCCTAGCTGATCTGGGGAGGACAAAGATGCCCGGATACCCCTACACAGGGCACACAGAGGTTCCCCTGGGAATGGGATTATTGTTGCCTCAAGGAAAGAACTGTCAGACTATGAGAAGAGCAGATAAGCCTAAAAATCTGGAGGAGAGGGCTTCCCAGTTAAAGAAAAAAGGGAGTTGGTGCAAAGAACAAATGCTGGAGGATAAGAAGCAGGGGAGGGCAGGGGATGAGCCAGAGCATGGCCTTCGTACCTGGCCTGCGGCTTCCCTTCCCCTCTGTCGCCCTGATAACCTGTTGGCTGTGGTTAGAGCCGAGAGTGGCAGTGGCGAGAGAGGTGGGGAGAAGCATCCTGCTGGACCTTTCTGTACGCAGGGAACATACCAAGATAATTCTAAAAGCTGCCTTCTGGGAATCATCTCTCTCATATGCAGGCTCAGCGTGACCCTAATCCTGCTGTGTGTCTCCAGTTACTGGCACCCACCTCCACAATACCTGCTGCTTCCCTAGCAGCTCACCTGTGTGCCCTCTGACCCAGCCCCTCCCCCACCCCATCTGCTCTCCATCCTTATTCTCAAGCTATGGAAGCAGGAGTTATGACTCACACCATCCCCAAATGAGTTTTTGGTTTCTATACCTAGTCCTTTCTGTGTAGGATGTTTACAGTTTTGAGAAGTTTTGAGACGTGAAAAACATAAAGGGGAGGAGTCTGATTCATCTGAGAATTCTCCAGATTTCCCCAACTCTGGAAACAAACCCTTCTCTCCTACCCCCACACCCCCCATCTTTCCCTCCACCATCCACACTGTGCCCTATGCCCAGGGCACCCCTTTCTTATATATTGCCCACTGTTTTAGCTGTCTCGTCAGGACACGTCAAGCTTCCATAGCTTGAGAACGGGAGGGTTTTGTTTTCAGCCCCCTAATGTCAATTTGGGGGGATGATTAGAAAGGCAAGGAATAAGCCTCTCTTCCTAGAGAAAATGACTTCTATTGCCACCACCTAAGTCACCCTCCACCAGGATACTCTGCATACGAAATGAGCTCCTCCCTCCAACCCAATTAACAGCTGGGGAAGCTTGAGAGGTACCTTACATCTGTCTGAATCCAGATAGGGTCTTTCCATTTTTCAAAGATGTGCTAAACCTGGCTTCTCCCCTATACCGTTTCTGCTTGACTCTTTGGGCTTGGAGATAGATAGGAGCCAGCAGACAGGAGCAGAGATGACGTAGAGAATCCCGGTCAGGCAGGAGCTGCTCGCAAAAAGGTGGGGGATTTTCCAGGTGGGTGCCTTGACAAAGCCTCTGAGTCCCCACCTCCTGTCTCTTGGCAACTGCCACGTTAGCTGCTGATTGGCGCCTCCTAAATTCAAAGGCGGGACTTAGGGACGACTTTAGCCGCGGGAGACTTTCTGAGACCGAAAGGCAAAACTGATGACGCTATAGGGGGTAATTTACAAGCCTGCCTTAAGTGAGGGTCTCAACCGCAGTTCACGAATGTACCCTTTCGGCTGGTCCGCCTCCAGCCCGGGCTCTCAGGCTCAGCGACCTCACCGACGTCCTGAGGAGGCTGGATTCCAGGCTGACCTCGTTGAAGGGAGAAGGCACTTTCCCTTCCTGGATCGGCCAGGGTCAGCAGGTTGCAGAAAGGCTTCGCGGAGACTAGGGCTTGTCTTATCTGCTCCCAGCCGCGCCTCCAGATGGAAATCCTCTCCTCCGGGGACAGATAGATCCCAGAGCTCTGTGCTCACCATCTCCCTCAGGGACCTCAGAAGCAGCCGCCGGCAGCCGTCTGCCGCTGATAAGAGGTCAGCCCAGCCGCCTCCCCGGAGAAGTCATCTCCCCGGCTCCCTTGCAGACTCTGCAGCCCCTCACTGGCCTTTCCCAGTCCTTATCTGGGTCTCTAGTCCTTGTCTTTGGATCTCTTCTCGAGTCTAACCCTGACCTCGGTCACCTCTTTAAGCCTTTCCTGGGCCCTCCTACTCCGCATTTAACCCACCAGGCAGCACCAGCCTCTCTCAAATTGGCCTGAATCGGCGTCTTTTCTGCGACCCCTCAGGAATACAAATCCGGTTTCCTTAGTACCTTTAAGAATTTAATCTTAAGGCTGGCAGGGACTTAGCTGTGGATGAGTTATTGGGCCTCCAGGCTAAAGAAAAAGTCCTCGCTGGAAAGAGAGAGAGAGAGAGAGAGAGAGAGCACGCAAGGAGACCATGGGGAGAGCGGGCACAGCCCTTGGGGAGGCGAGTCCAGTCTCCAAGGAAAGAGACAACTGTAGAGGGGAGAGAGAGGATCTCGGCTACCCCTCAGCCCTGCATTTCAGCGCCCCATTTGTTTCAGGATGGCCGGGGTGAGGATTTCCAAAACACAAGCTGGTCGGTGCACCCTCTTCCCTAGCCCCACTGCTGTACCGCCAGCTCATCATCAGCTCCCCCCAGAAGTGCTCTCAGAGGAATTCTGATTGAGAACTTCACTGGGATTTCAAACCCAATTCATCGCCAACTCTAATTGCCAGGGATTTGCATGAAAACCGTTGTATGCTATCTAATTATTCTGACAACCACAGACCGCGTCTCGGCACAAGGAGAATCTCGGTTTTAATTAACAATAATGCACCTTGCAGATGATGTGACTGTTTAGGTTAATTAACAAGTCCGAGTCCTTCCAAATTATCTCTACACATCTAGGTGATTTGGGTGGGAGAGGGTAGGGTGGCCACGAGGCGCAGTTCACAAATCAACTTTCACCTTCTTAGAATTATTGGGTAGGTCAAGGCAATTCACAGACAGGCTTTGGTCGTTTGGTTTAGGGGGCTTTGGGGAAAATTGCTTTCAGTGTTTCAGACCTGTGTGGCTCTTAGATCCAGGAAGTCGTTCTGACACATGCATGTGAATGAGAAGGGGAATTCCTGTCACTCTCCAGCCTCTCCTGCATGGTCCAGGTATAGTGGGTTTGGCCTCCCGACTTTGCCATCAGGTTTTTGATGTCTCTGTCACAATGTAAGGGCACTCAAAGTTGCCTGCACCCTGAAATTTGGAAGATAATGTCCTAGATTCCAGCCTCACCCTCTTAAGAGGCAGTTTATATTTTGTCCAGAGCAGCTCTCTCACACAAGTCCCTCCAAAGCAGGATGGTTAAGCTTTGGGAGATGAGGGCCAGAGTTCTTCCGGAGAACTGGAGGAACTTCACAACTAATTTAGCACCACGCCCTGACCGCCCTGACCGCCCTGACCGGGGCATGCGGCTATTTCCCTCTGCACTTCCTTCTAAAGACAGAGCGTCCACATTCCTGCAGGGCTGGGGCAACCAGGCCCTGCAAGCTTGAGGTCCTGTGGCCAAAAGGGGTTCCGGTTCCTTGTCAAAGCCCCCTTTCCTGGCTAGGAGTCTTTGTGCTGATGTGTCTCTGATCATCATCACCTGATCATCCTTGGGATCTCAGCGCACATGTCACCTCCTCCAAAATCAAGATTTTCATCAGGCAAGGAGATGTGGCCACAGGCCAAGTCCTACCAGCTCTCCCTCGGGGGTTGCAGTAAAGCCTCCATCTCACACTGAAACTGTTTCTTCCTGTGACTGCTTGTCTGCTTGTGGCTGAGTCTTACCCTCCCCTCCTCTTCCTCATTCCCATCTGACACCACTGCTCCTGTGCCCCTTCCCGACCTCTTACCTTCGGTTTCTTCCTTTACCTCTGGCCTCTGCAAACCCAAGCGGTAGTTTGTGTCTGTGGTTCTGGGACCTGGTCAGTTAGCCCTGAAAGGACCTAAGGATTATAGCTCAGATCACTCCAAAAACGCTGTGAGTGCCAGCTACGGGCTGGGCTGTGAGCAGCCCTGATGGCCTGATCTAGGCCTTGGTGTGTCCTCCTGTCCTTAGACACATAAATATACAATGCTTCTGCCTTGGTTCTTGCAATTTCTCAGGCTTCTCCCTAACAACCCTGAGCACAACTGGACCCGAGCACACATAGAAAATGCACAGGCCCCCAGTTCAGGCTTCTATTCCAGAACTGAAGACCTCAGACAACTGTAAAACCTCTGTCTTGTGGGTGCCTGTCCCAGTGTCACATGTGAAGATGTAGAGAGGCCCTCCCTGGTGGTGCAATGAGTTAAAACTCAGCACTATGAAGATGGCTGCAGCCACTGCAGCACAAGTTCAATCCCCAGTGAGGTTGCTGGCCCACATATTGCAACAGACCTCTCCTGCCTATCCGGCTGCTCCCCTCAGCAGTGTATTTCAGTCAATCTGCCTGTTCTGCTCCCCACTCTGTTTCTGGTGAAGCCTCTCACCGCCCCCTCCCCAGATCTCTGCCTGTCCCCCAGTTCTTGTATGCATAAATAAATAAATCTTAAAAAGAATAATGATGTAGAGAAGGGGTAGGAGCCAGGCATTTGTTCAGACACACTCTTCTGAGGTGGGTGGGGTAGATTCTGGAGGCCAGACCATGAAGACAGAGTCCCCGAGGAGTGGGCGGGTGTGGCACAATGGAGCAAGGAGCTGCACACATTTGCTGGCCCTTTTCTGGGACCCAAGCAGAGGAGAAGCTCTGCTCTCAGTTTCAACTCTCCCAACATGACACGCTCTTTCTTCACCTTGCACCAGGCCTAACCCTTCACTTGCCTTGTGGTCAACAGCAGGGGATCTGTGGAAAGCTCTGCAAGTACAAACAGAGCAAGCTGGAGGAAAGGCACCGAGGCAGAACTTATATAAAATTTAAGAGATGAATACAAACCCAGTATTTTAAAAAATGATTGCAAAACAACAGAATGGAAGAGACCTGGCTCAAGAGAGGTTATTATGAAAAAAACCCTAGCTCTTTCACTTGGCCACAGACTAAGATGATTCAACAGTGTGTGTGGTGGCCAAAAAGCTAAGGCAGACTCCCGCTGGGAGAAACTCGCTCTCCTGCCACCAACAG